GAGTGTGAAGCAGCTGGGATGAGAATCAGCACCTCCAAGTCCGAGGCCATGGTTCTCAGTTGGAAAAGGGTGGCTTGTTCCTTTTGGGTTGGTGGGGAGTTCCTGCCTCAAGTGAAGTGAAGGAAGGATGGAACGGGAAATTGACAAGCGGATTGGTGCAGCTTCTGCAGTAATGCAGTCGATGTACCAGTCTGTCGTGGTGAAGAAGGAGCTGAGCTGTAAGGCGAAGCTCTCGATTTACCCGTTGATCTACGTTCTGACTCTCACCTATGGTCATGACCGAAAGGGCAAGATCCCAGATACAGGTGGCCGAAATGAGCTTCCTCTGCAGGGTGGCCGGGCACACCTTTAGAGATAGGGTGAGGAGCTCAGTCACCTGGGAAGAGCTCAGAGAGAGAACCGCTGCTCCTCCACATCGAGAGGAGCCAGCTAAGGTGGCTTGGGCATCTGTTTTGGATCCCTTCCTGGGGAAGTGTTCCTGGAGGAGGCCCTGGGGAAGACCCTGGACACGCTGGCGCGACTACATCTCTCGACTGGCCTGGGAACACCTCGGTATCCCCCCGGAGGAGCTGGAGGAAGTGTCTGGGGAGAGGGAAGTCTGGGCATCTTTGCTTAGACTGCTGCCCCCACGACCCGGTTCCGGATAAGCGGAGGAAGATGGATAGATGGATGAAAAACCCACAAAGTTTTCCTTATAGCAGCTGTGGAGGTGAACGGGGGAGTTTAGCAAGGGCAGCAGCGGCAAAGTAGGCTTTGCCTGCTGCCATGGCTGTGTAATGCATAGGTATTACTAGGTAATGTAATGCACATAAAGTATTGCTGTTGCTAAACAGCATCGATACTAGATAATGCTAGCTAGCTAGATACTTAAGTTTTGAAGATGGAATATTTTACTTGAAATATTAAAAATGCACTTGGGCACACATCTGCATAACAGAAATACTACAGTCATGGCCAAAAATCCTTGCACCCCTGCAGTTCTGTCAGATAACACACCACTTCAATACTCAAATCCTGGGGTAAAATGCATGGTTAATATGCACATATGTAAATTCTGTTCTTGATTAATTAAATACTTGATTCTGTCTATTTTTTGAGTACTTGGAATTTTTTTATCAGGATATGTGTGCGGTGCTTGTTCTCATGGTGTTATGTTGTTTGTTCTCCATTGCTGCTGAAACACTGAAATTTCCCCATTGAGGGATCAATAAAATACTTACCTACCTACCTACCTTCTCCCAGAAAATTGTTGCAATCACAAATTTGTTGGTATTCCTATGTCCCATTTTAATTGGTTACAAGTGTGATTTCTATATTGCCTACTGATTGCTACAAGTAAGTTTCATTACAAATTAGAGCATCACATGCTTGAAATATAACTATTTGATTATTTTGAAAAAAGGTGTCAATAATTATGTCCAGTTCATTTTTGGAATTCTGTGTGGAATGTATCAGATTTGGCTTTTTTTCCTCTTTTTGTGTTGTTCCAATGCAAAGAAAAAAATATACATGAGAATACTAAAGACTGGGAGAAGTGGTGAGTTATCTGACAGAAATGCAGGGGTGCCAATATTTTTGGCCATGACTCTATATGCTTACATTACAATTTCTTTGCTTTTTTGACAGACAATACTTTTCACCTGCGGCCAATGTACTTTTGACCCAAAAAGTAGGGACGAAAGTGCAGTTGTGAGATTTAAAGAAGAATTACTTCATGGTGGTACACTTGTTCACAAAAGTGCAAAAAGTGGTACTTTTGACCTACTTTTGACCTGGATCTCCCCTACAGCCTTATATGTCAGATAACAGGTGCAAATACCTGTAGTGAGTTGAACGTATCTCCCACACCTCTTCTCAGTATTTTGTATATGACAACAATTACAATTAAAATGTTGATGAAAACGATGGTCAAGGCAGGAATCACCAAGGCAAGCAGGGCCATTGTCTCTGCCCAGTTGAGCCAGCACGCCTTGGTTTTCCTGATGTATCCTTTTCCTGGTGCCGTGGCAGCAACAGTGATAACAGCTATAATCAGAGGGCAGCCATAGCCTAAACTAAAGCTAATGGCCAACATGGTTGCTTTGGACATGTGGGAGAAGACCATGACTGTCCGGTATAAGAGCAGAAGGCCTGACACAAGCATCCAAAAGAACAGAGCAAGGTAGAAAAGGTGCATAAAAAATGTTGCTGCACTACATGGTCCAAGTGGAACGTTATAGTCCTCCCCTGGGTTTTCAAGGGGATTCTTAGCAATAGCGGCACCAATGATGAAACAGATGTCAGTGATCAGCAGAGACAGGGCGGTGTTAATGATGGAAACATGATGCATGAAGGCAGTGGTGTTTTTGGTAAGGGCTTTCCAAACACAGCCTTCAATAATGAGACATATAACTAGGCTTCCCAGAGATATCCCAACTCCAATATAAGTGATTATATCCAAGGCTTCTCTCAGTGGTGGAGGGACATCTGTTGCCATCAGAAGTGAAAAGGAGGTGATGTGGTTGCAGGTGCAGGTCACATTATTGTTTATGTCAGAAACAAACTTACACCCTGTATCATCCCAGGCACCGAGTTGATCAAAGAGTGTGAAGTTCCAGAAGACACACTGTGGGCTCCATGTCAGGGAGTTGTTCAGCTTTTCATAGCTCAGAGTGACATTCTGAATTGTTGCATTTATTTTGACAAGCACCACAGCAGCATTGATGGTGTTACCATTGTCAGTTACATCGGTGGTGATGTTGAAGAGGCTGGTGTTAAATGTGGAATTCCGTGCTGGCATAACATTATTAAGGGTGAAAAAAGTGATGGTGGTAATAATGGCATTGGTAATGTTGGTGTTTGGAATGTTTATAGTAACTGAATTCAGGTCTGCCCTGAAGGAGTTACTGAATGAGGTCCTGTTGAGCACGATCCATTGAGTCTTGATGTCAAACTCACCAACTAACTCATTAGAGAGAGTCTCCATTGAACCCAGCAATGCTGAACTGGAATTGTGGGTTTTATTTGCATTCAGAACTACCCAGGACTCTCTTGTATCATTACCAATAATGACATCAACAGTTTCTAGGATATCCTGCAGATAAAAGAAAAATTTTATTGTGAGAGTACAATCTCATCAAAAAGTCATAAAATACATTTTTTTGTGATAGCATTCATATCAGTTCTTAAAAGGCTACAAAGTGGAATGTTTAACTTACCTGCATGACAGTAACATTAACTGCAGTGGAAACATTTGCAATTGTATTTATCATGGTAATGACAGCTGATATGGTTGCAGATGAATGTTTAATTTCGGCTTTGTCTTGCTGAACAGCTTGACTTAGATCCACCACAAAATGGGGCACTTCTTTCACTCCCAAACTCTGACAGAATGAAAAATCAAAAATACAAACATTTTATGATGACTTTGTGGTTTGCTACAATGAGACTGCAAACTATTCATAACAAATGCAAAGATGTTTCTTTCTGAGCAAAACAAACTATTACAAACAACAGATGTGCACCTTTTAGGCCGTATGAGTGAAGGGCAGGCTTAGAGGATGTGATAGTATTTAGTAGAAATAAAGCAATTAGTATAGAAGCACTGATTGCAATTTTCTGGGCAGATTCCAATTTCTGATGTCTTTCTGAGTCGGACCTGCAGATTCTGATTTTCTTTCATTCTAAGAACTAATTGACAGCATACATAGACATTTTTGTAACTTTTCTTTAAATTGTAATAAAAATAAAACATTGTAATAAAGTTTTACATTTCATTCTCACTCTTTTTTTTTTACAAACCTCCAATGAAAAGTTAATTGAAATAATTATACTTCTCCAAATATAAACAGGTGCAACAGGTAATAGAAACAGAAAATGTCTGAGCACACAGTTCTTGTGTCTATAGTTTGTATTTGCTGTGTTTTACCACATACTGGATACACTGTACATATACAGTACATACATTTCATGTGTAGCCAGTAATTCCCTCACTGTGTACTATTTGTCAGAGATTTGAATGTAGTTTTCTTCCTCCAAAGTGTTTCTGTAACTTCCCTGTGCCCATTTTGTACACTAGGGGCTTCCAATATGCAAGTGCCTGGTATAGACACAAGCATGAGTCTTGCTCAGGGTGCACATGAGATGCTACGTGCTGCACATGCTACACTTTTGGTCTGTGCCACTGCATGCACAACGTGAACTGTCATGCTGCTATGTCTGATCAGCACAAAATCAGAAATCTCAGAGTGATCGGCCTTGACCAGTGACCGACTGATCACTTTGAATACTAATCTCCACCGATCGATTGCTGCATCTTTAGCAATTATGCCTCATTACCTTTTCAGTATACATACTGTATATTTGGATTGTCCAAGACTGTCTTAAGAGTACAATACTCATATGCCATACATATGTTGAGAGAGTTAATGGCCACTTTATTTAAAAGTGTGCAGTAGAGAGGTGACTGGAAATGATAGAGCAAAGAGAGGAGAATCACATATAACAGAGGATCCTGTAGTTTGCTGACTTAATTTTTCCTCTTTGCTTGTTCTACTGTTGCTGAATGT